AACTGCCCGCATGAAGGTGAGAATTAAAAGAACTTTTCTTATTGCGCAAAAGATTGAAAACACGCAGATTCTAAAATATTTTTCACTTTAAAAAATGGGGACACAATCAAGAATCACGAGCCTCTTTCTTTCACGAATAAAAGTATACAGCTAAGCTACTGAATTCAGTTTAATTTAAGTGTGAAATTAATTTAATTTCAGTGTGTCAATTTACAATTCATTTTCAGAGATTAACGTACAGACTGGTTTGGGAAAGAGGCACTGGACCTTGCGGTCCGTCATGTTCCCAGAAAGAAATTGGAAAAAAATTTAATCCGCCCCCTTCTCTGTCATCCTTAAAATGGAAGTGCACTTCTGGATGTTCCACCATCACGGACCTACATGACGTCAGTTACACGTTAACAGCATTCAGCAACAGTAATTTGTCTGCATGGGAACAAGGAGAACAATACTTCTTTTACCCGAGATGGAAAATAAACAACACATACGAAATCTCGTATGTTTTTTACTCATTTTATTATTTTAAAATGTTCCCGAGTTACTATATAGTATCTTCTCAAGTATCCCAGAATTCATGCATGTGTTCAAGTAAATCTAAAGCAACAACCAAACACAACAAAACAAGAACCAAAAAAAAAAACAAGATCTGTTTGTAAAACATTGATGCCCCCTTATGGCAGAAATATGGCGATGGTTGATGTTTCTCAAATACAAGTTAAACTTCAAGGTGAAAAGGTCAAAGTTGTTGGTATCCAAAGGAAGGAATGAACCTGTGAAATATGAAAGCCTTAGTATTAACTATTCAAATGTTACGGCCAAGGATAAAGTTTTTTTTATGCCCCTGGATCGAAAGATCCCGGGGATATACTGTTTTTCTCCTGTCTGTTTTCGGTCTGTCTGTTGTCAACTTTAACCTAGCCCATAATTTTTGAGTGAGTGGGGCTATGGCTGTCATATCTGCAGGTGTATTTCTTGTGACAAGGCCTTTATTTTGGTACCACAAAATTTGACCTCTTGACCTTGGACCTTACACTAAAAATCACACTTTAACCTTGGCCATAACTTTTGAACAATTGGTGCTAGGGCTTTCAGACTTTCACATGTGTTTTCATTGTGACATACCTTTCAACTAGTATAAATATTTTTGACCTTGACCTAAGAGTCTAACCTACTTTTTAAAAACTTTAAACTTGGTCATAACTTAACTTTTGAACAGTAGAAATAGGACTTTCATATTTCACAGGTGTATTCCTTGTAACAAAACCTTGCTTTGGATACCAACACTTTTGACCTTGACCTTTGGAGTTTGACAAGCATTTGAGAGAATTCAACCCTCGCCATAAACTGCCATACGGGGGCATCAGTGTTTCACAAACACATCTTGTTTTTTTTTAAAAGTGGTTCAAATTCCAAGGTCAAGATCAAAAAGATAAAAAAATATTACAACCTATTATAACGAATTATAAAAGCTCTAGCACTAATTGTCAGGAGCCTAGGTAAAAGTAAGGTATTGTAAAAAGTGGATAAAACTCAAGGTCAAGGTCAGAAAGCAAAATTTGGTGGTGCCGAAAGAAAGGTCCTGTCCCAAGGAATCACCTGGGAAATATGAAAACATGCACGGCCCCACACACTCAAAAATTATGAGCAAGGTTAAAGCTTTTGCGGACTGACAGACAGGCAGACGGACGGACAGGATAAAAGATATATATCCCAGAATCTTCGATTACGAGGGCATAAAATTTATAGCAACAAAATCATATGAATTTTCTAATCGTTTGCACGGATCTGTTTAACGGGGGGAGGGGGGCCTCATTTTTTTCCTGAATAAAGTAATTTTCATATAGATGCTTGATGGACCCCCACCTTTGGGTGCGGTCAGGTAGCTATAGAGCACTGACAAATTCAAGAATCGAATCTGATTGAAAAGGAATATTTGTTTGTATGTTGTTTAACGTCCCTCTCGAGAATTTTTCACTCATATGGAGACGCCAACACCTGTCGATGGAGAGCTGCAAATTTTGTCCTATACTCGGCACTCAGCTAGGGCCATTGAGCAGGGAGGAATTTTTTTCGTGACAGCACCTACTGCGATACGGGACCTCGATTTATACGGCCTCAACCGAAGGACCGGTCTCCACGTGAGTGGATTTTGAACTCGCGACGTAAGGATCAACTCCTTACTTCGCGACTCTACAGCAGATGCCCCAACCACTGCGCCACACGAACAAAAATTAAAAAGAGGAAGTTTCCAACTCATTCGCCTCGCTAAGGAGATGGGATTTGGACAGTTCTGTTTTTTTTTGTTTTGTAATTTTGAGTTTATTTTGCTTGGCAGGCTTTTTGTACGGAAACCGATTGGTGGCAGGTAGAAAAATAATTTATCTGACTGCCGCCAGAAGGTTAACAGATGGCCACCATATAATTTCGGGCGGCCGCCAGATAAAATATTTTATTCTACACGGCAGCAATCGGCTTCCGTATTTTTGAGATGTTATTTCAGCGAGTTTGAAAACAAATGCAACGGTTCTGTTCGATCAAACAAAACAATGACCAAACACGCAAAACAATTTACAATCCCCGGAAACAGTTATTCGTCCTCAAAGTCTGAATATTTGATTTGATTTTTTTGTTTGCTGTTTAAGGTCCCCTTTAGAATTTTTCACCCATGCGGCTTATTGCCATCATTTGCCGATGGAGAGCTGCTGTCCCATGCTCGGCACTTAGGGCCATTGAGCATTGAGGAACCTTTTTTTCGTACCAACACCTAAGTACTGCGACACGGGACCTCGGTTTATACGGTCTCATCCAAATGACCGGTCTCCACGTCCCACAGTGGGATTCGAACCCGCGACGTAAGGATTCTCCTTACTTCGCGACTTTAGAGCAGACATTCTTACCACACGTGGGCGACCCGAAAATCATCTTCGCTAGCCTTTGAGGGTTTCCCGATCCGAAATCCACTCTACAACCCTTGGCTAGCGAAGATGCACGAAAATTTGAAATTGCCTTCTATTTCCTGCCTTTAACGCAAAAAGGCCAATTGTAGATTAAGCGGACTGGACTGGTTGGCCCCTGCTTCTGGACTCGGCAAGATGGTCGCTAGCTTTGACTTCGGTATACGGAATGATACAGGAGTGCCAAATGCAAGTCCGATATCAGCGGTTCCATCGGTATTAGGGTAAGATATTTTCAATTTAGCATTTTATTGGTGACAAATGCTTTTAAATATGCCTCACGTCTGAAAAAGAATGTTTACAATTAGGTGGAAGCATGATATGAAATTCTATTCAACATGTGTTAAATATGCATGGAAAATAACTATATCATCAAAGACACCGCTTTATTAAGTTGGACTTTACTTTTTCCTACAGAATTCAGTTTGGATGCACAACAGTGATCAATATTCCTGCCGAAGATCCGGACGCAGACTCAGTAAGATGTCGTCTGGCCACTCCTGCAGAATGTGACGATGCCTGTACCAGCGCCCCGAACATCACACTAAATTGGGTAAAATAATTCAAACCCTAGTCATAAGGCACTTAGCGGGGGAGGGGGTTGGAAAGCTCCCTATACACTTTTTCCCAAACATAACTTTTTTCCTATTTGAAAATATTTATTAAAAGGTCGGCCCGGCCCCCACTTTTTGTTGAAAGATAGTTAAAAAAGGGTTTTTAGTATTGTATATGAATAAAATGTGGTTCTGAAAAAGTTGGATCTTAAGACAGTTGGCAGCATGATTAAGTCTTCCATGAACTGCCAACAAAAATACTTCACGTTTTACAAAGAAGATGGGGGAACAAGGCAGGCAGAATGCCTATAGCGTCGGATATTAAGAAATCATATTCAATATGTGAATTGAGTATTTAAATTAACTTCTCATTATTAAAATTTACGAAATTATGAGAAAAAAAAAATTCTAAGAGAAAAAAATCTCGTAAAAAAATTTCTTGTATAAAAATATAAGATGATATTCGTGGGATTCGAACCCCCATAAGCAATAAAAATCCGATGTATCACACTGCTTTGAGAATAACACGTTTTTTTTTTTTCTCTTTTAAACTAACACGCTAACCATTATGCTACATGGCATGATGATTTTTGGCATTTAAATAATGATTGTTATATGACCCTTGACTTAATGGACTTGAAGTATTTTTCGGAAAGATGCGAATGTTTTGTCATAAAAGTGCACTTTTAAGGTACAGTGGATCTTCGCTCCATGTTTTTGTAAACCAAAAAATGTATATTTTATTGCAAACTTTTAGGATTATCTTTAAAAAAATGGAGGGAAGACCCACTCATATTGAAAAATTTTGTTAAAGTATGAGAAAATTATCGTTTTTGTTCTTTTTAGTGTGTGTATGCTTTTTCATAGGCAAATATTTTCAGTCTTGGTGAGATTTTTGTAAATTGCAAAGATTTTACATTAAGTATACTAGTACTTTAATATTAGATGAAATTTCAAATAAAATTTGGATATAATTGAGATTAAATTTTTCACTTCTTATCTGTCGCACTATAGGCACTTCGTCCACCTTATCCACCCATCTTTTTCTAATTTTTATGATTAATTTCAACTTGAAATGCAAAACAGTAGTGCAAATAACCATATTATTGTATTTACCTTATAAGGAGACTTGCACTATAACTATTCCTGCGACCACTCAGTATGGTTACGAACCAAACAAGGACTACAGGATAACGGTTATGGTGGAGGACTATCCTGATTATACAATATCTGTCGGGGATCAGGTCAGGTCCATCAGGCGACCCATCAGCAAGATCCCCACACAGGTTAGTGGAAACACGATGATTATCTGTAACAGGCAGGTGGATCGGAGAGGGGGCTTTTTCTAGGGTTTGGAGTTGAAGTCATACCACTGAGATCATTTTCATAGGTGAAAAATATATGTTTGGAATTATAAGGCGAAACTTTTGCGTTGTAACGCGGAATTTTCACCAATAAATGCACAACTTGTATAAGGTACATGTCAATTTAGCGAAAATGAAATTCCAGGGGTATGAAGCCCCCCTTGTTCGATACGCCAAACGGCAGATTTTTTCAATAACTTAGAAAAAACGTCACTTATTCAGTAAATCAAAAATTATTATTGCAGTTTACAATAACAACTATAAAAAGACAACACTCCTGCAGTAACACTGGTATGAGAATTGATGGTGTCATCCCAAACCCTAAAAATTTGTTTCGGGTATCTTACGTCGGTAAACCCGCGGAGTTTAACGGGGCTTTCTACATGCAATCTCCGAATATCAAGTAAGAATCATATCTATTCACCAAGGAAGAACTAATTAGGGCAACTGTATATCATGTCTTATATTTCAAAGATGATATATGGCATGAATTGTATAAAACAAGTTATAAAGCCTTAAAAATGAGTTAAATATCAACTGCATTATATGAACATAATACATGTATAATATTTTTTGGACAATTTTCAGTGACACTACGTTCATAACAAGTTTCTTTGCTGGTGTAGTGTATACCGTGCTTCCGGATGACAAAAATAGAACGATAGGTGATTTTCGTGATGACGTCAGAAGAGTCCGTTACGTATGGAAGTCATATGATACACGTCAGTATGCCGATACTTTACTTTGTGTGTGGGGACGTGACACGGAGGGGTGAGTAAAACTCTGAATGGCGGACACAGGTTTTATCATAATGTTGTATAAAAGCACTATAACCAACGTATCCCATTGTAATTTTCAGAAATGACTAGAACAGTAGTGCTTTAACTTTTTGACGAATTGTTGCAAAGAAAAGAATAACTTGGAATCTTAAATTATTAGGGTATATTTGTTATTACTACCTTTTTTTCAGCATAACTACAGACAGATTTTGCTACACAGCAGTATTAATTGGTAAGTGAATAGTTTTCATTCAGTTTCTGCAAATGGCTTTACATGTAAACGTCCTCTTACTCATCGAACACTACCGGTAGGAATTTCATGTTGTAAATTTTGAATTTGCCGGGTAATTAATCGGTAAATTCAAAATTTACAACATGAGAGAATACCGGTATATCTGAGGCTTAAGATTCAGTGTCTTTGTTTTTAATGCAGTGTAAAAGTATATGTTTGCGACAAGAGTTGATTCGAGATTGCAAAGAAGCAGTTTAATTATTTTGCCCGATTCTGAAATAAATTTAGAAGATGCACCACTTTGTGATACCTCTTAAACAAATGCAATACTAGTAACTAGAAACATGGATATCTTTTGTAAACTGACAAATGAATGACCAGTTCTAATTTGTATTTAACAGATGGCGATGATTGTGGAGGTGTCACGTGCCTGAATGGCGGGAAATGTGTGGATCTTTACAGAAGATGGACCTGCAAATGTCCGCACGGATACAAGCCCAAAGACTGCTCTCACAGTGCGTCCAAATTAGTCAAACATGAAATATATATTGATCAAAATAAGCGTGCATACTTTATCTCTTTACAAGCAAGCATATAAATGTCCGTTCTACTATTTCCATTAGTTTTGATCAAAGGCAACACGGTGTATCTTTAAAGAATTCAAAATTATCTTTATATTGCATTATTTTTTACATTTTCAAAATATACATATATTCAGGTACTTCATATAGTAAATAATTTAAATATTTTAGAAGTAACATGTGCAGATTTTCCTTGCAAGAACAACGGAACCTGTGTAGATACTGGAACTATGTACACATGCGCATGTGCCTCAGGTTATTTTTGAATATTTTAAGCTGGTCATAGTTTATTGTTTATTCTCTCTCTTTTTCTCTCTCTCTCTGGTTTGGTACAATGTATATATAGAGGGAAAATATTTTTTTCAGGATTTACTGGCCTCGATTGTGAAATAGAGTTGATAGTTACTGGTAAGTATATCAAAGCAGAAAAAAAATCTCCCAAGCTAGAGTGATAAGAAGATAAAACATCCATGTGTTGTGTTTTCTTTTCGCTTTGTTTTCCCCTTGTTCGTTTGAATTTTCTATTTAAGTCGTACGTTGCTTTTATTTAATTTCTTTTTTAGTTCAAAGGAAATCGGTATGTATTTTTTTCTCTAATTTAATAATATTGAGTAAAAAAAATGAATTGAGCAGATTTTTTTCTTCTCAAATTACAGCTGTATTTAAAACTTTCTTGACGTCCAATTCCACGGCTGACTTGTAAAACTCTTAATTGATTTATTTAATTTGATAAAACAGGGCTCCGTTTAATTTCAAAAACTTTTAAACCTGCAAATTAGAATACTGTCATACAGTGACAATTGCGATGTCATGAAAATGAAGTATATGTACTGAAAAAATTTTAAAAATCGATTTAAAAAAATATTTTCTATCTTCTTCTATTTTCTAAACTAATGCTTGAGCACTTGTTTTTAGATCTCAACTCAGGAAAATGAATGTTTTAAAGAAAGCATATATATAATCAAAACGATAGAACTAAATGAGTATTGATATTATATTTACAATCTAATTAAAATTAGATCTTTGATCCGCTCCAGTTTGATTGATATATTGTTATATTTAGGACTTTAAAGTGGTACCTGCCGTGTTGGGCACTATTGGTGGGGTGGCCCTGGCGTTCGTTACGACTGGTTGCTGTTGGTGGTGTCTGTTTGCAGCAAAAAGGCCAGATTCTAGAGAGAAGAAAAAGAGAGTGGTTCCAAGGAACCTTCATAACGTTATACAAGAACAGGACTTGGTAACAAAAGATGCATGTTGAATAAAATTTACTGTTATACAATGGTTTTCATTTTTGAGTGAAAGAGAATGAACACATCGAAGTCAGGAGTGCACTTTGACAGCATATCTTGATCTGGACGGGACATCGCTTTTACTTTAAAAATTATAACTGTGCTATACATTGCTTAACTCGAAATTCCTATTTTGTGGAAGATGAAATTAAGACTATATAGAAAAAAGTGGACCCCAGCCGACGCGGTGTGCCTATGATTTCTAGATTCGTTCACATGGTTTAGTTTTATCAAGATACTACAAGTGAGGTAATTTTACATGGTCAATATCCCCGATGTCCTGCTCAATTGTATAAATCATTATGTTATTTGTCATGAATAGAGGATGGTGATGAACTTTTCTTGAAGTCAGACCAGCCATTGACTTGTTTCTTGGACAGCCCGGATACTGGTAACAGGACTTTATAGAAGTGATTACTTCCCCCAGCTTTGTCAAGGGGATTTAAAGAAAGGACAGATAAAGTTAATTAAATGTCGTATTAAATTAGTATTCTAAATTCACCTGCAGATCCAAAATGATTGCTTAAAAAGTTAAAATTTTAGAGTCAATTTTATTGTTAAAAAATCAGTCACAACACTAGCCGTAGGAAGTAGGAACCGCTGCTAGACTCCCTAGATGGTATATATTATTAAATATTTAAAAAATAATAGATTATTGCGGTTGTGCTTCCTCATATACATCACTGTTAAGAACCACGAACGATAGTATTGTTCTCCCGCCTACCTCTAAGTCAATTCTCAAAAGTTAACATATTCGAATGATTTTCATAAAACGTTACTTTTTTTGAAAACCAAAGAGAGATAACTCTATAATTTTGGTAAAACTTGAGTTTTTCACTATGGAAATCAATGGAAAACGGAAAATATTTTTAAAACATCTTCCCCCCCCCCTCCCCCGTGAAACAAAAATTCCTTTTTACAGGTAATATGGACTGTCATTTTACAAATTTGTGCCAAAGCTTTTTGTGTTTCACGGGGGGAACATATGTTTATAGACAAAAAACGAAAAAAAAATGCTGATTTTTCACCAATTCTAAAGCTATTTACAACTAAATAATTGTATTTTATTAATTTATATATGTTTTATTTATTTGCGTAAAACATAAGAAAAGATATGATATACATTTTATCACATTTAAGACTATTTCAAAATATGGTGATTCTTGAAAGTTAGATTTCACTAGTAAATATCGTCTACCCCCCTTTTTTCAAAAGCTGAAATTAATGAAAATATATTATCTAGCGCTGGAAATAAAATGATTAATCAATTACCATAGAACTGTTCTTTGTATTAAACAAAGATTTAATGGCCAAATTGCCATAGAAATTGAATTTAATGGTTGCAAACTTTAGGCGGGAATCAAGAGTTAGAGTACATAGTTCCTTGTATCACACGTATACTTTACTTTGTTAATTTGATACACATATATACTTCACTGTTAATTTGAATTACACATATACTTTCCTCATAAACCTAAACTGAATCCCTCCACTTTATGTCTATACTTTCCTCTGTTCATTTGTAATAATTAAACATACTTCACTCTGTTAATTTTTATGGTAGGATTGGATTTTACAGAGTTAGAAAATAACGATAAGTTGTATTGGTTAAGACCGTTTTTTAGTTTACATTCGGAAACTTTCTATAGCTTTATGCAGTGATTTGGGAAACGTCTTTGTACGGGTTATACACTGAAGTGATCTCATTTAAGGAGTTAAAATAGCGAATAAGAGAGGTATTTTCATAGGAAAATTTTCGTTACACTGGTACCGTGTAATTCTCAAATTGCATTGGTACCGTCTATAACGAAATCCGATTACATTGGTGCCGTGAGTGTACTTAAGACTAAATGTAAAACCAAATCCGGTACAATTTGAAATTAATACACACTGAATTCACTCTGTTAGTTACGAAATAAAGTCTTCGTTTTCGTGAATGTTGTAGAATAACCTCAGAGGTCGAGAAATCTTGTTTGAAAGATAAAAGTCGAGGCGTTAGCCTAGGCTTTTATATTTCAAACAACATGTCTCGACCCTGGAAGTTATTCTGCATCATTCAAGACAACAAGGACTTTATTTCTATTCTACTAAGCAGCTCTAAAATACGACTGAACGTTTCTCTACAGAGAAACGCATTAGGTCACCATTATGGCACGCCAAATTCACAAAAAACAGATAAACCTAGTTTCACATTTGATAAACTAGGTTTATCGACTGTAAACTATAGTTTACAAACCGTAAACTATAGTTAACGATTCGTTAAGTATAGTTAACGATTCGTTAAGTATAGTTTTCATCTGTAAAACTATATTTAACGGTTGATAACTATAGTTTACGAATGATAATCTAAGTTTATCTGTCTGTAATAAGCGTTAACAATAGATTTTGTTGATAAACATAGATTCACGTTTGTAAACTGTAGTTTACAATCGTAAACTATAGTTAAGAGTTGTTAATCATAGTTTCACAAATCGTGAAACTATATTTATCAGATCGTTAACTATAGTTAACGGTTTGTAAACTACAGTTTACAAATTGTGAAACTGTATTTATCAGATAATCTATGTTTTGCAATCGCAAATGATAGTTTTCGGTGTTAAGTATAGTTTACGGTTGTGAAACATAGATTATCGCGTTAACTATAGTTTACAGATGTAAAATATAGATTAACGTTGTTAACTATAGTTTACAGTCCGTAAACTATAGTTTACAACCGATAAACCTAGTTTATCGATTGTGAAACTATGATTTGCTCATTTTTGTGAATTTGGCGTGCCATACACCATGCTTTGTTAATGCTGTTCCATTTAGCACCAGAGTGTAGATTTGTTTGTTTGGCTGTGTATATAATGCAGACGATTAAGCTTTCGCCACTTTCAAATTAGCCTTTTATTAATTGTAAATCTGTTTGTGGCTAATATAGATAGACCTTTTTTGAATATACAATATAACAAAATCGGCTTCCTGTTTTACCACTTTATCACTAAAATCACGGAGTTTACATATGGCGTAGGGAGGTCCGTGAAACAGCCCCGCTTAGTTTTAGAAACCTACATTTATTAGCTACTTTCTGAAATATTATACAGTGTTTAAATTGCAAATCGATATGGTCTAAATATGTATTTCAAGTCAAATGTACATTTCAACTGCACAGGTTTGATACGTGTTTCTGATCTGATAATTTTTTGATGACGTTCGTGATTTATTTAAGAAATGAATTTCATTTTTGAAGATTCATGAGGTTATGAACTACGACGCGTCACGCCGACATATTCGTCAGCGCTTCATGATAAATATGCCGGCGTGAAGCGTTGTAGTTCATTTACCTCATGAATCTTCAAAAATGAAATTCATTTCTCATATTTACATTATTTTTCAAATGAGTAGCCACAAATTTACGCCATTCAACTGTCATTTTTAAAGCATTTAACAATTTGCACTATAGTTTTACGTCAAGTGCGGTATTGTGACGTAACAATGGAGATATTCATGCTCTGCATCCATGGTACTTCATGAGGAAATGAACAATACTTCTTATTGCAAAGAAACGTAAGGAAAATTATTTGGAAATGTAAATATTGGAGAATAATGTCCGCGGCATTTATTTGATCTCGGCAATAATCGTAGTAGAATTTGAAATACACTCTAACTTCACTCTGTAAGTTTGAAATACACAAATACTTCAGTCTGTTTGTTTAAAATGCACACATACCCCACTCTGTTAATTTGAAAATTCCCTATCCATCAATTCTGTTAATTTTAAATACATACGTTTTTCACTCTGTTAATTTGAAATACACACATACTTAAATCTTTTAATTTGAAATATACATATACATTACGCTGTTGCTTTAATACACGTATACTTCACTGTCACAATTTGAAAAACATGTATACTTCCCTCTGCTCATTTGAAATACACATACATGTATACGTCACTCTGCTTGTTTGAGATACATGTATATATTCTTCAATCTGTTAATTTGAAATACACATACTTCACTCTGTTAACTAGAAATACACGTATACGTCACTCCGTTCATTTGAATTACACGTATACTTTTCTTTGTTATTTTGTAATATACAAATACTTCACTCTGTTAATTTGGTAGGCATACATACTAGTAATTCACTCGGTAAATTTGCATTACAAATATAACCCTCCTCTAGATCCGCACATGATTGGATCACGGAGCAACGTCAAAATTGAGTAATTTACTAATTTTCACTTTATAGTATCTATAGCCTTACCTCTAATAAATGGAGCTGAAACGAAATAAAATTTACATGTTTAAATCAAGCCCTGCTGTATTACTTGAAATGCTATCAGGTAATTTAATATATCGCTCCGTTTAAAAGATATCAGTTTCTAAAAAAGGCAAAGAATCATGACGTTGGAGGACGTCACAGAGCAGCAAGTAGCAATAAAACTTTGCTTTGCATTCGGGGAATTTCTTTAACAAACTAAAAAAATCTGGATGAACCAGAAAATTTATGAAAAAAGCCGCGTATTTGTATTAAATGGAAAATGCAATTTTTGAGTGGTAGAGACTTTGAATCGGACGATGGATGGTCTTCAAAGAACCAAGTTATACTAGTAGACGTACGGTGTATTTAAAAATCAATCAAAAGAGAGAGTTAGGAACGTCACTAAACGTGATGTGCGCTTCACTGTTGCGGGACTAATAGAGTTACGCAGTAAAGAATTTGAAAACACTGACAACCTATTTGCACAATTGTTAGCAAACTAGATGTAAAGTGTTATGGGTGCGTTTTTATGAATGGATCAGACGCTACAAACTGTATAAAATTCAAAAGCAGAGTAAAATTTTGAGAAACTTTCTCGACGTTTTTTAGACGTTACAATATCGGTATAACCGTGCTCCGTGGTAACAAAACATGTTGCTTTAAAAATTGGCTAACATGAGTTCTATTTAATCAAATGAAATGAAACTTCACACTTCGACAAGGTAAATAT